AAAACCAACACTTTGATGAGCATTATAATCATTAGTGTTTTCATTTCGTCAGGGCAGAGGATATACTGTCTCTGATAATACATAGCTTAAAACGCACACGATTTCATTTAAGCCTTTCTTTGTTATATTCTATACGATAATGGATCTAATGATGTCCTTTTAAAGTATGAGACTATAGCTATACCGCTGACTGCATCGAAGAACATGTATCTAAAAATCGGAAAAGATCGGTTTTGCATATATACATGACGACTCGACCGATAAGATGGTGATTCGAACTCGTACCTGCATAGTTGATGCGTAACCATACAGGATTCTTTATGGAGATACTGGAAAGCATGGACGGAGTGTTGAGGCCGGCGACTTGGTTGATTGAGTGTTTTCCTACACCGACAGCGTTGATCGTCCACCTTTTGTTTGTGTTAATATTTACTTACGCAGACATCAGGAGCAAATGCGAACAGTTCACGTCAGTGGCTTTCCTGCTATTAGACCGATGTTTCAATGGCGTTCAACAAATTTTCTAGTTGTTCTTTGATAATTTCCTGTAAATTTTCCTTAAATGTTGTAAATAGTGTGTTATAAGTACGTAATCACTACATGTTGCATATTCCAATTTTACACCACATGTTCCTCTCTTCACCCAATAATTTTCATACCAATTTTGATGGCTTTTCGATTGGGAAAATCCAGTGATTGACATCATGAGCATCGATCCACGCAATTTGGGACACGATGACACGCATCAATCAAGTCAGCGAGTGTGACCACCCGATCTTACGACGAGCATAGTTGCTTCCTACAGCAAGCATGGGTTGCTGAAGACCTATTCTAACCCTATTCGAACGGGTAGAAACAATAAGAATACTTGATAGAATTGCAAGATCTGGGTTTGAATAACTTGTGAATCAGCTTTAAAACAGATAAGATAGTAATGTCAGTCTGGTAATCCAGAAACATAGTAACACGGCCTCTGCCCTCGTCGTGCGATTCTGCTGTCTCATCTCATGTGCCAACCAGACAATGGCTGCCACAGACATTTTACTCTAGTGACGGTCAGTATCTTCAGTCTTGTCTGTAAATCTACGTCTTTGTCTGAAGACATCCGTACAGACTCGGTTCTTCATACAAAAGACGACATTGTTGTTGGTGTCACGTTTGATGCCATTTTGACTTGGAATAGATTTCAACAAACTTTTCACTGTGGCCAAGATAAGAAAGACTAAAAGCCACCCATGTCGTATACAAACGGGAAAAGGTTACCGTGGTAACTAACGCTGACGCAGTGCCACGTACGGCTTGCTGAAAATCAACATCACTCTGTGGATATGCTCCAAACAGGATTGGCGCAAAACGAAGTTCCCACACATTTTCATGTTCATGAAAACACAATAGTCTTTGGAGACTTAATCTACAGTGGGTAACACTTATGATATGCCACGAGATGGATGTCCCCGTGTGACGTCACGTCAACAAGACAACCATATTCGGTTGGTGCATTTACGGAATCGTAATACCAAACTGCCACACTAACAGCACTACCTACGTTGAGACCAATTAGTGGCAGGATCGTATGCAACCAGATGAGGGAGCTTAATATCAGGCCCTGATGTCCAGCGATACGCGCAATTTTCCTTCAACGTCAACGGCAGGCACGCCTAGCTTCGTATAGACGTTCTGACGTTCAGAAGACAAGACTGGGACAGTTTACAGTTCACCGCGCCAGGTTCCACCTGGACAGCTCTGGTAGTCGTGCAGGGGACTATATGCGCCTAGGACGCTTCAAATCGGCGTTGTTGGCTCTTTTCATGATTAAGATAGCACGCGCTCACGTAGATGTTGGGATGTTGTCACGTAGATTACAATGGGTCAATGCGTAGGGATTCGATTAATCGTGTGACTTGATATATTTCAGACATTGTTCATATTGATGCCCAACTGCGGAATCCGTGTTGACTCGAGCGTTTTCTCCCTGCAATCCCCACGAGGAACGGATACCCATGTGTGCAGGCACAGAATATATCTAACATTGTACTCACAGGTGAGTACTATATACAATGACATAGTGTTTTGTGCAGGCTGCTACATGTTCAAATATTTGAGGTCACAATGATCACTTAATTTGTAATGCAGATTGAAAATAGCATGAGGGCGGTTGTTCCAAATATTGTCCCATCTGAGCTAGATTTACTGGCTGGTTCTTGTCCTGTCGTGTCGTAGGCATCCGTCCATCTCATCCCAGACAGGGGTCTTATCTTTGGGCTTAGGGTGCTTCAGCAGAAAGACTCTAGGACCTGAACAATGCAGATCAAGTGCTCGACTACATCACCCAGAAAGGATATGACATACACGGCTTTGACCTGGACAACGGTATTGTGTTCTTCACAATACATGAAACAAAAAACTCACGAACTGAAATGCGTGATTACCCACCGTGTAATAGGAACATGCGAAATTATTGTAAGACATTGGAATATCCAATCCCGTATAACATCTCGATTCATGATGTATTTAGTTTTTAGTTTGATTCAAGATATGATCGATAAACGAGATATGATTTTAAATGACATACAAGGGATGATATGAGGAAATGAGGATCTATCGTGTTTGTAAATGACGTGTTTGTATGTAGTACGTTTGTTTGTTGTTAAACACTGCATTCAGCAATAGTCCAACTATACGGCGGCAGTCTGTTAACAATTGAGTCTGCACCAGACAACCCAGTGGTTGATATTTTGAACCACGATCCACTCTATCGAGGTTCGATGACGCGCCATCAACCAAGTCATCGGACCTGACCACTTGATCTCATTGGTCTCCTCTAACGACCAGAAAAGTTTTCTTGGGACTTATTCTAATCCGAATGCGGTGAGGTGTCGATTACAAAATTGAAACAATATGCTAACCCAGAAATCTGTATCAAGTCTTTGAATGGCTTTTAGAAGTGATTCACATAAAAAGAGAATTTATGGATGTCAACTCCTATATTGTAACACAAGGTTTTGGAGTATATACTTACTCCTTCATCAGGTAATGTTATGAAGCATGTGAGAACATATATATGTACCTGTAAGAGCAACAAAAGTAATAAGATCACAAAGGTTGAAACTTAACAAGGGAAACCAACAGCTAATTGGCGCCGATAGGATGACAATTGGAAGCCAGGACTCAAATTATCACTGATTGGTTATGGACAATGGTCAAACGGGAGGCAGGGGGCAATAAGCACTGACAGGTAGTAGCAATGGAAACGGACTAATGAAAGCCTGCTGGATAATTACCACAGACAATAATCAAAGTAAGACTCGTAAGTCCAAAGCACTGGGCTGATAGTGAGTGAGTGAATATGGTTTTACGCCGCTTTTAGCAATATTCCAGCAATATCACGGCGGGGGACACCAGAAATGGGCTTCACACATTGTACCCATGTCGGGAATCGAACCCGGGTCTTCGGCGTGACGAGCCAACGCTTTAACCACTAGGCTACCCGACCGCCCCGATAGGTTCCCTGGTCACTGTTAATGGCTGGCTGGTGTCTCCTGGTGTAAATGGCTTCTTTATTGTCGCCAGTTGCTGTTGATGGTAGACTGGACTTTGGTGGCTTCCAACATGGTTCAACTTGGTTCTTGAGTGGTATTCGGAAATGGTGGACTTTGGGTCTTGTTTGTTGACAGATGTCTGATGTTCCTAGAATCTGGTGTTGAGGGATCTGAAGGGTTCTATGATGTACTCCAACAACTGGCTCCAAACGACAATGTCGACTACCTCCACCATCAATTTAGAGACCCCATCAAGAATGCCACCAAACCACAGTGCCACAGTGGACTACTGTTTCTTGTCTTTAAATCCTTTTATAGCCAAAATCACACTGAATTGTCACTCACTCATTGATATATACTACCCATCAAAAGTTTAGACTCACTGAAACCACTCACTATATCTCGTAAGAAAATCGTATTTGTGAAAGCTACCGATAAAAAATAACAAAATCATTCATTTAGGTCTTCATATCCTTGTTCACAAGGACGTGTGCATTGATGATTAGTGAACCAGAATGCCGTATTGGCTAGTACCATACAAAAGTGAAATTGCAAAATTTAATAACGGGTATGACCACCCCTGGCTCTAACACAGACATTGCATCGACGTTGCATACCACGAAAGAACAGTTCAATCTGCCGCTGGGGAATGTTTGCCACTCCTCAAACAATGCATTGCGACTTTGGCGAAGGTTAGCAGGGGGAGGAACTCTGGCATAAACACGCCGTCCCAGCAGATCCCAAACATGCTCAGTGGGGTTCATATCGGGCGATAATGCTCGCTAATCCATTCGATTCACCCCATTTTGTTGTAAACAAGCTGACACGATGCGAGCTCTGTGAGGCCTGGCATTATCATCTTTGAAAACCGCGTGACCTGGCATGGCCCTTAAGAATGGAAGCACAATAGGAATGATGATCTCGTCCCTGTATCTCTGGCCAGTCAGATTTCCATCCTGTACCAGTAAATCAGTTCTTCCAGTCAGGGTGATACCTCCCCAGACGATAACGGATCCACCTCCAAATCGATCATGCTCCACAACAGCAACGTCAGCGTACCGCTCTCCCTGACGTCTGTAGACTGGGATCCGACCATCGTTGAAATGCAGATTGAACCTTGATTCGTCGGAGAAGAGTACCCTTGCCCATCTGCGGGGACCCCAGCGTAAATGTCCATTTGCCCAATTCAGTCTGTTCTGACGGTGGCGTGGTGTAAGAGGGGGTCTTACAGCTGGACGACGTGCCCGCAGTCCGTAGTGACGTAATCGGCGGCGTATTGTTGATACAGATACACGTCGTCCTGTAGCTTGTTGGAAAACATTATTGGCTGCTGTGGCTGTAATGTGTCTGCCCCTGAGAAACAGCAAAAAGACGCATCGGTCATCTTGCTGTGATGTTACCCTTGACCTACCCGACCTGGGTCGATCCTGGACGGAGTTGGTCTGTTGAAAGCGTATCCAGAGGTTGGAAACTGCCTATTGGGATACGCCAAGACGTCTGGCAACATACCGTTGTGATCTGCCATCTTGTAGCAGTGCCAAGGCTTGATGTCGTTGCTCAATACGGAGATTCTCCCTCTACCCATGCTTGCATAAAAGAAGAATTTCTCCACTAACTCAGAAGAGCCAACTGCAATCCTTATAAAGATGAATTGCACGAGTATCCCGCGTCAAATTGCTCCTAAAACACGTGCATTATCGTGCATGTGAACACCTGCGTTTTGGTGCGAATTTTGTTTAAAAATGTGCGACATTTCACAGAGTTTTATCAATTAATGAACGACAAACTCTTATCTTTTCACCGTTGCAGATTTGGTTTTACGCCACATCAGTTCATGTGCTAACAATACCTGTAAAAAGTTTAGAATATTTGGCATTATCTGGTTTGAAACAGTTGAGTATAGTGAGTGGCTACATTTACACTGGTGAGTCTAAACTTTTGATGGGTAGTATATATATTTGAAAAGTTTTCACTTCGTACATGGTATGGGAATATAGTTAATCGAGTGGTCATGTTATTTTTGTGAGATATTCAGTTAGGCATATTTAGTTGTGGCATGTGTGAGATGTCCACACTGGGGTGTATTTGTATCCATATCAGTAGGTGCTGGATAGGAAGGAAGACCCCACACAAACCGTCAGGTAGACTGGGCGCGTGTATATTTATTTGACATGGATATACACAATTGCTTGAATGCTTGAAGTATTTTTTTCATATGTTGATTTTTTACATAAGCCTGCTATGATTAGTATGACTGAAAACAAAGTGGAACACCAGTGACTCTCAACGTAAGTACTTGATAGATCTGACATATCTTCGGGTAAAATTAAACTTCCTTTCAGATTTGTAACGGGCGCTTGATGTCATATGTTAATTCAACAGTAATATACACTGATAATTTCACTGTCTACAAATAATAATGTATGTCGACAATCTACTTCTACCACTTCAAGTATGAATGTCACATGAAGACCTGAAAACTTCAGCGCTGTATGCCAAAACAGAACAGTAGAAATAGAATACTGTGAAAATGCAAGGGATTGATTTGAGCCCATTGGGGAGTGATTTGAACCTGGAGTGAGTGTTTCCTTTTAGTAGTGGGGAGTGACCGCATCCGAGGCTCTATCAATCTAGAATCAATCTGAATTCTTAATGGATTGACTTATTTAAAATTGGTGGTCCCTTTGATCTCGTTTTAACTGCAGTTGGACTGTATGCCAGAACAGAAGAGTCGAAGTAGAATACTGTGAAAATGTAAGGGATTGATTTAAGCCCAACGGGGAGTGATCTAAGCCTGGACTGAGAGTGTTGGGCCAAGTAGAGGGGAGTGACCTCAGACTAGATGCAATGACGTGAAGTTGTTCAGGGATTGATTTGTTATCGTCTTTTTTACGCTATTTTCCTATTGCATTTTTTTTATCAAGCATTTGTGATCAAGTATGCCCTAGAGTATTAAAATCTGCAACGTTGCTGTGTTGAGTTTACTTGCTCTTCAAGTATTTGATTGGGCAATCACTTCTCAAACATCACAAGTACAAGGCAGGTACCTACCTGAGCTAGAAATAAAGGAAACCAGTGATCATGAGACCGCCAAGGCCTAAGTAAAACTTTCAAAAAGCTTTATGGTGGACATGTGGAAGACATTTCCGAATTTGACGCATCAGTGCCAAAACTGATGTCCGAAGCAATTCCCAATTTTGACCTGTACAGGATGTTTCCGTGCTTTTTTTCAGGTGATCAATTGACTTGCCTTTGCATGTGTTTGTGACGGGTGCCACCGTGGAGCAGGATACGCTCCCCCTTTCGCGAACACCTAGTATTTTAACTTTTTGATAGTGATTCAAAAACACATGCTCATGATATAGTCGGGGTCGTACAATTGACTCTGCCTTTTTCCATATGGAACGGATTTTGTCGCTTTATTTTCTGACATGAGCTTCTATGTCCCTGAAATAAGCAAAGTAAACGAGTTGTTTTATCAGTTCTGGCTTATCATCACTTTGTCATTGACACGAGGTCACTCGTTCACATTAAATGGCATACTTCTTTATGTAGATACACATTAACATACACGCGAGCTGCTGACACCATGAATTGGATACGTGTGCTCGTTATACTCTGCTCCTTATATGTGCAAAGTACAGTGGGTCAGTCTGTTTCTGTCACTGTTTCTACAGACAAGGAAATAACAACGATAGATGACCATTTCGTCGGGGTGACATTGGATTCGTCAATGCTAGCAATATCTGTTAACTGGGAGGGACTTGATTTAAGGTGAGTGTATTGTGATTCACTGTAACACTACATCAAATGAGTATGATGAATTATCTTTAAGTTTGAAAGAAAACAAATATTTACTGTTTCTGAGAATATTTTTCATCTTAAACAACGTTTTAGTTCACCTAAAGTGCAGACCCTGGCAAAAGCATTATCCCCGGGCTATCTGAGAATAGGGGGAACACCTGGAGACTTCATGACCTTTGACCCAACAGGACATGGGGGTACAAGTGCAAACTCCACTTATACTGGTATGTTTACATGACATGACATGATATATATACATATGATACCTGGTTTTGGAGTATTTAGTATTTAGTACCCATGACAATAATAACAGGAGAATCGTCTCGGACATCATTTTCGCCACTGGTGTGTCAAATTTGGAAACCTCCTCATGATGTCTACAATAAAACTTTTAGAAACCTTTACCTAGGCTTTGAATGTTGTAACACTGATCAAATTACTTTTGAACAAAAGTCAAGTAAAGCTCTCTGGAGTCCTCGATTGTACCTAAAATCTGCAATGTTCAATATAATACCTCTGCCACATGTACATATGAATCAGTGACCTGCAATACATTGGTTAAAATGAATATCTTCTTGTTTTTATGAGAAGGATATATGGGGGATATGACGCGAGTGTGTTTTGGGATGGTAAATATCCTCTACAAGGAATGAACATTGTACATAGGGTTTAACTTCCAAGCACACACAAGCGTGATGACATCTTTATCGTATAATGTCATTCCTAAAACTATTATCGAAATATGTATTCTCATCTCTTACCAATGGTTCCTTAACTTTGCAAGGTTTCCTGGAATTTGCGCATTAATATATTACGTAATAATGTCAGTGATAAATCAGAAATAGAGTGACGGGTTGCTGAAGACCTATTCTACCCCGGATCTTCACGGGTCGACCTTTAGTTTTAGAAGTGATAACAAAAACATGATGTGACAACATGCTTCAACGAACATTTTGAAGTTGATCAACTATATAGTAGGCAAGTCGGACGTTGGTTTGGTGGTGGAATCAAAGTAAGGCTCTATCGTTCACGTTGTCCTTCAGGAACAGTTCCATTACTCAGAACCAAGAATGACTTCTTTATAGAACTATGATATAGTATCTCTCAAATAGGTCCAGATCACCGATGCTCCCTTTTGACTCGATCGCCGATATACAAGGGCGACGCCACGTTTGTTTCCAAACACTGAGTACTTACGTCACCTTATGTTTGCATGTTTATCCGGCTTTTTATTCGTTGGCGTCATCCTGCTGAGAATCTTACCCACTGTATGATACACTTGAATATCGTATGTTTAAGATGCTAAATGGGACGAGCTTAATGCCTTTGTGAAGAACGTTGGGTGGGATTTGGTGTTTGCCCTCAATGTGTTGAAGCGGAAAGAAGGACAGTGGGACCCTGACAACGCCAAAGAACTGATAACCTATAGCAATGCTAGGAATTACAAGATACCTGCATTTGAACTCGGAAATGGTAGTGTATGGTTCTACAGCTCATTCCATATCATATACAACGTAGCATCTTTGTATACCATATTATGCTTTACTAAGTATGTATAGTTATACCTGGATAATTCCTCCGCCTACCTTGATGATTACTCCGTATTTATTACCGTCACATATGTGTACGGTGAAATTCCTACCAACCTCAAAGTCGATATGTTTAGAGCATGACGTATGTACTGTAACGTCAATAATCATATTCTTGATACAATACTGTAGTTTCTTTGGTCTCTAGAACCTGAATATTTCCCCGAACCCTTCACCAATACAATTTCTGGAGCACAGCTTGGGCGAGATTTTGTCCATCTTAGGGAAATCCTCAAGTCTACTCCTGGGTTCGAATCCACGCTGGTGATTGGACCAGATGTAACAGGTATCTCAGGACCGAAATCCATATTGTTTCAGAAGTAAGTGGAAACTTAGAAAACATGTTTTCAAGATTGGCACACATTGTCTTCTTGGTACCAGTAGCATGATACTGATGTGAAAGTAACAAATCATACCTCATGGACATGGTCAATCTTCTCAACTGTTTTAATGCGGTAATATGATAAGCGATATATAAATCATTGTAAAGTATCCCCGACACCAATCCAGTAGCTCACACCATTCAATTACCGAAAACGGTATTCACAATTATGACCGAGTTTGATGCTAGAATTCCTATTGATGATTTTTCAGTTTCTTCGAAGGCGAAGGAAGCAAGGCCGTTGACAGAATCACCTTTCACCAGTGAGTCTTAAGCTGTGTCATCTTCAGAAACATGTGTTGTATTACGTTTTTGTAACAACACATGTTACTACTCTACGCTTATTAATATTGCAGTAGGGACACTTAATACACGAGCTTTCCTTAGCGTCACATTTGAAAATCATTTAAATGTTTAGGTACTATGCCTTCGAAGCTGATGCTACAGTGAACACCTGTATCGACCCCAAGGTGATGGACAGCCTGATATCTGATATCCACAGAGTGCGTAACGTCACCACCCCCTCCAACCCCGACACTCCCCTTTGGCTTGGGGAGACATCGTCCTTCTACGGCGGGGGAACTCCAGCGTTATCTGATAGATATGTAGCTGGGTTTCTGTGAGTATTGTCTCTTTTTTTAAAAGTTACTTTAAGTATACAAAGTTACAAAGTATAACAATTTATAGAGCGAGTATGTACTTACACCTTTTCCATCAGTAGGGCATACCAGAAACTGGCTTCACGGAACCTACCAGTGTGAGGAATGGAACCTGGGTCAACAGCGTGACGACCAAACGGTTTATAGTTACCCCCCGGTTAATAGTGCATTGGTGTTCTTTTGCGAGGTAGTTAGAAATAGTCAAGCTTTAGCGGTGCATATTGTAAATACACAATACTGGATCTGGCAAACCAGAGTTTGACGGCAAGAGCAGTCGGGGCATGGTGCCACAGAATCAGCCAGATCCTGCATGGAGACCTACTCACCCTCATGCTGCTGAGGATATATTTAGTAGCCAGTTAGTTGACGATATGGACCTGGACCAAACAGAAACAACAAACACACATAAAACTACGGACATCATCTGTCAGCTGAAAAAAATGATATACAGCCTTGTTTAATCTGGTGAGTGTGAGTGAGTTGGGTTTAACGCCGCTTTTAACAGTATTCCACTTATATCACGGAGTGTCAGCTTAGTATGGGAGGAAAGCCCGATGTGATGCAGTTCTCAGACGTTTACCACTTCAGGTTTACCCACGAGCACGGGTTATGGTGCTGACAAACCTAGAAACATAATCGGGGCGACCCGTGATTCGAACCCACAATCATAGGTTTTTAGCGTGCCCAAGGGACGCAACTCTGCACAGTGAATCGCGGCGCCCTTGACGACTAGGCCGCCCGTGCCCCCTTTTAATGTAGCGAAGATGCGTGTAAGTTGAATGCGTGATTCCTCAGGTTTGAGGACTTTTATTGTTGTGGCTAGTGCCAGAATGAATGCGCAACCCTACCTCGACAAGCATGTGAGCAATTATTCATCCCGCATTTGAATCACCTAGCTTCAAATTAATATTTCAGATGGTTAGACAAGCTCGGGGTTGCCTCACGGATGGGACTTAAAGGGGTTTTAAGACAATCGTACTATGGACACAATTATTCTCTGATCGAGATGAACACATTTGAACCTTATTCGGTAGGTACAAATATCATGGCATCTTGTTCCGTCGGGACTGGCTAAAATCCATCTTTGCACAAGGTGTTTCTTTCGAAAATAAATTAAAAACATTTTGTCAGTTGTATTTGATGTCTCTGCTTTCTCTGATTCTGGAGGCAGTCAGTATATAATAACCTCATTACTTAATCAAATCCATACTCTCTAACTGCTTACATGTCAGTAATACATTTGACAACAGTCAAATTGCCCGTGTATGGTTCAGTGTGTCCAGTCTTTGATAATTACTTGTAAAGTGTCTCCCTTGTCACCCACTCAGCCCCTAACAGTAACTTTTATGAAGCAAACCTGAATACATTAGTGTTATGTGTTTGATAGCACAAGATTTAATTGAAAATGATTCAGACCTACTTGATGCATAGACAATTGTCACTTTCCAGGACTACTGGCTGACCTTGCTCTACAAGAGACTGGTTGGGAATAAAGTGTTATCCGTGCAGACCAACTCAACCAACAGCTTCAGGGTCTATGCCCACTGTGCAAAACAGAACAGGTACACAGTTGGAAGGTGTTGAATGGGATAGTCAGTGGTCCTTTTTATATTTGAACATCAACTTCTAGAACATAAATGTCTCCTCTGTAGTCATCCATTTCCATAACGTGCATGTAATGTAATGACTTCGGATGTGCCAACATATTGTAACTTTTCGATCCAACATGTTTCCGTATCTTTGAATAGTGTATACAACTACAAGCCGGGTAGTGTTGTAATCTACATCGTCAACGTCAACATCTACACCACCGTCGTCACCTTCCCACAATTCCAAAAGAATATGGATCTCTTCTGGCTCAGACCAGAGTTCACAGAACTTACATCAAGGCAAGTAAAGGGATACATGATGATGGTCATATGGCAGAGACTGATACACAGAGGAACAAGAACACTTTATGATACAGGCTAATGAAACGCAGTGCGTTTTACTTTATATAATGTGATACATACTCAAACGTGATCACTCATATAACTAAAGACATTACGGTTAATCTTCGCTAGTGTTGTCCTTAATTTCAGTTGACGTTGTAATTTCAGGAATGTGACACTAAATGGTAAACGACTGGATTATGTGAACAACACCATCCCCGACATGCCCCCTCAAAAGGCCTATGGCGGGCTCCTCATGCTGCCAGCAAGGACCTTCGGGTTTGCCGTGTTCCCTGATGCGGATGTTGATATCTGCAGGTGATTGTTACAAGTGGAATGTGTGAAGCGTAATAAATTAATGCAATGTTCCATTACAAATATATGCATTTCCTTTGTTGGCATTGCGTTCTTCTTCTTGTAACGTCTTCAAGATGACAGACTTACGCCTCCTACGTTGCCCAGTAGGGCAGGACGTGCATACCCTTTTCGCGAAGACCATGTCATGACTGATTATCAGTTGTCCATTCATATAATTTACCCAGCTATTTTGCCCTTTATGCCAAATTGAATCTGTTTCGGGCATTGACACATAGAGGAAATATACGCAAATCGTGTTCTTGCATGCATTTCCTCCCAAATTTGCGTTTGTTTGGTGTAAAAACCGGTCCCGTGGGTGTAGAAAATCAATAAGTGTGTCAATTATATGGACACTTTATGAGATGGAAGCATGACATTGTCATTGGCAACTTAGTCTGAAAACCCGTGCGCCTCTGACCTTGGTAAAGCTCATTTGTTCTGTTCATCGGAATCTGTTCCGCTGTCTAAATGAGACAACTGACAACATATACATTTGACTGCCCTCGGTCTCTTTCAAACAAACTGTCTGTTACTGTGTCAATTTAACCAAGAGACATTTCTTCAGAGTTTCGTTTTCAGGGCTTCGTTTTCCACAACACAAACAAGCAACCTAGCCATGTGTTTTACATGTACATATATACGTTTACTAAACTGTCAAATTAACTAAATACGTTCTTACCTCACATCTACTTACACTTGGCTTGTGATAACGTTCGATAAAATCGTAGGCCACAAAATTTGGAAGAGACATGTTGTGGACGTATTACGGATGTCAAATCCCGAAGTAAATGTAGAACACATTACGCATCTACTTACACTGGGCTTGTGATAACGTTCGATAAAATCGTAGGCCACAAAACTTGGAAGAGACACGTTGTGGACGTGTTACGGATGTCAAATCCCGAAGTAAATGTAGAACACATTACGCATCTACATACACTGGGCCTGTGTTAACGTTCGGTAAAATCGTAGGCCACAAAATTTGAAAGAGACACGTCGTGGACGTGTTACGGATGTCAAATCCCGAGTAAATGTAGAACACATTACTCTTCACAGCGCCTGGAATGGCACTGTAGTGCAGAGGCGTTTTACGGCTAGGTGGCTAAATGTTATCAGGAAATTCTTGCTCCTGATTGATAACTCCAGACTCAAAGCTTATTATGCGTCTGCATATCTAACTGTTGTTAATGTTGTTAGCATCCCGATATGTGTCGTAAAGTGACTCAAGCATTGCGGTAGGCGTAGGTGACTCCCCTCGTCTTAACCGTATTACCAATCGTTAACACAGACAGTGCTTGTCGTAAGAGGCGACTATGCTTGTCGTAAGAGGCGACTATGCTTGTCGTAAGAGGCGACTATGCTTGTCGTAAAAGGCGACTAATGGGATCGAGTGGTCCAGCTCTCTGACTTGGCTGATGCAAGTCATCGATCCCAAGTGCGTCGATCGATGCTCATGATATCAATTATTGGATTGTCTGGTCCAGACTCGATTATTTACAGACCGCCGTCGTATAACTGGAATATTGCTGAGTACGGCGTTAAACAGCAAACCAACTAACACAGATAAATATGTCACTAGATAAGGGTGTCAAGGTAAAAAGTCATGAAAGTACAACATGATACACACATCTGGTACAAGATAATCTTTCTCTTTAATTATGTAACTTTTATTTATTTATGTTTATAAGTTATTTGAATATGCATGCTCATTTGTAAATATATTTATACTTAAAGTACATGTAGGTTTGTGTCACATGATGATGACTCGCGGGCCAGTCTGAAATCTGACCACTTTATGCGATCTATTGGCCTCTAAAGACCAGGAATAGATTGCTAGGGACCTTGAAATAGTGACATATGCAGAATCACATTGTCCTACTTATGATAAATGTTGAATCATTAGCACAATATCATAGTTAAGACGTTATCTACAGTAGGGAAACACTCAGGGCTTGCAACAAGCTGGCCATCCAAGTCTGACGTCACGTCAACATAACAACCATTCGGTTGGTGCATCTACGGAATCAATACCGAACTGCTCCGTTATACAATTCTTGTGTTGAGAATGATGGCAGAACATTACGCGACCGGTTGAGAAAGCACAAGATCCGGCCCCTGCGTCCAGCGATACGTCCAATTTTGCTTGGTGCAGACAGCATCTGAGGTTCCGAAGACACTACTGGGATAGTATACTGTTCAAAGATGAATAACAGTTTTATCTGGACAGATCTGATGGTCCTGCAAGGGTCTAAAGACGTCCAGGAGAACTCTGCTAAAAGGAGAGACGTTTGTTCTATTCCGACCATATCATGAGCATGAGTTTATGCATAAATTTCAAACAGTGACGACAGAAAATGTTTGCGAAGATGTTGCGCATCATGCCACATGGATGGCACTAGTCACAAACTGGTCACAATTGTCCACCTAAAAAGACACATGAACTTATTGTACAAATCATAATAATGAATTGCATCGGGCATCTTTTTTGTACCGCTGCGTCAAATTTACACGTCCACCATAAAACCTTTTGAAAGCTTCCCGGAGGCCTTAAATGTTGTAATCTTGATCAAACAACTTCTGAGAATGAGTCGTGTGACACTTTTTGCAATCTTTGTATGAAGAGCATGCTCGATTGTACCTCAAAAGTGACCAGGGCTGGAGCTGATGGAATATTTCAAGAGTATTACTCGATATACACAGATACGTATATGATTTCATATTAATTCAGATTGCAAAACATGTTTTTGGACGAAGTACATTTCACCAAGAAAGTAGGCTGGGTTCTCATATTTGGGCTCTGTGTGCTGCAGCGGAAAGATGGACACTGGGACCCGAGCAATGCAGACCAGCTGCTAGACTACACCAAGCAGAAAGGATATGACATCAAAGGCTTTGAAGTGTGCAATGACATTATGTTCTCCACGTTACTTACATATGTAATTCACAAACTGAAATACGTGATTTCACCACAAAGTCCTTTTGGCTTCAAATGATAACGACGAATTGCAAAATAACTCAAAATCGGGAAAAGTCTATTACATATCAAAGCAGTACACTTCAATGAATACTCTGTACCCAACAATATCTGCTGTTTGTGATTAGTATTCCAATCACTGGACATGTAGGTAGCAGTAGTATCGTAAGTCCTCATGGTACCTAGTATGGTGACCTACATGTACCTATGGCTATTGGTGATCTATAGGCCATTTTTATTGTGTACTGTTATGAATTGTTACAAATTTTATTATGATATGCTAGTTTTACAATCTACATCTGTGATAGTCTAGTGTTTTTACTGTCGTTTGTCGACAGATTATAATGTCTATTTTTATATATTATTGATTTACAACCTGATTTAGTCACGATATGGCTGAAATATTGCCGATGTGACTATGAAATCTTAACTCACTCACCCATCACTGGTAAAAGTTGTTCAGAAACTATCATATTGTTGTGTGTACACGTTGACATCTTGAACGTTGGGGACGCAACGGTAGGAGGAACAGCGAAAACACGTACTGAACGTGCTACATAGTAAACGTCGTTGTTGACTGACAGGATTCACTACTTGCTTGCTTGTTTGTTTGTTTGCTGTTTGACACTGCACTCAGCAATAGTCCAGCTATATGACGGTAGTCTGTAAATAGTCGAGTCTGGACTAGACAATCCACTGATTGGCATCATGAACATCGATCCAAGCAATTTGGATACGATGACATGCATTAACCAAGTCAGCTAGCCTGACCACCCGATCCCGTTGGTCAACTCTTAGGACAAGCATAGTCGCCTTTTACGGCAAGCATGGGTTGCTGAAGACCTATTCTACCCCGGACTCTTCACGGGTGTTGCGAAAAGGTGAGCATATCCTGCTCCACTAGTGGCATCCATCATGAGCAGTTCATTTCTGGTTTAAAAAATTCCATCATCGAACTAAAGTGAACCAGTTGTTTTATCAGTTTATCAGCAGTTTGTCGTTGACACGAGGTCAGTCGTTCACATTAAATGGTATACTTCTTTATATAGATACACATTAACATACATGCAGTGCTGAGGACACCATGACTGTGACACGTGTGCTCGTTATACTCTGCTCCTTACATGTGCAATGTACAGTGGGTCAGTCTGTTTCTGTCACTGTTGCTACAGACAAGGAAATAGCAACGATAGATGACCATTTCGTTGGAGTGACAATTGATTCAGCAGAGATACCAATAGCTTTTAACTGGGGAGGACTGGATTTACGGTGAGTGTATTAGTTTATTTATGTAGTATACTGTAGAGAGGATATTTCATGTGTCGAGTGAAATATCACGGGTATTTGCAACTGGAGAAGTAGTTTCGTGTTTGCATAATCTTAAAAAAATATGAAGAAGAGAAGCAAGACATTTTAGGGGCACGAAACGTCTCTATCATACATATAGTTATGGTTATATACAAAATCAACTTTAACAAAAAAAATATACTTGAAAACTACCAAACCGCTGCTGGAAGCGAAAGAATACACGCTGGTCAAGAAACAAAATTGCGCTTTGCGAAACGACCAGTCTCGATTGACGAGTTAAGTGAGAAATTTACAGTATATAACGAAACAGTCTCTAAGAGAATAACATACGGCCTGAAGCGATATTAACTCCATAAATGGCAACAGTGAAATATCAAGTGTTATGTTCAGTGCAGTGAAATATCAATTGCCATGTTCACTGCAATGAAAATATCAAACTCAGTCTTTCACACTTAAGTATATGATAAAACATTATATATCATACGAATATGGTGAACAATCGTTCACGTTTGAAAGAGAACAAATCATTTTGATGATATAATATTTGAAATTAATTTTCTAGTTCACCCAAAGTGCGGACGCTTGCTAAGGCGTTATCCCCCAGCTATCTGAGAATAGGCGGAACAGCTGGAGACTTCAATACATTTGACCCAACGGGTCATGGGGGTACAAGTGCAAACTCCACTTTTACTGGTATGTTTATGTGACTTATATAATATATACGACACTTCGTTTTGGG